CATTTTTGTAGGGCCCCCACCCGCCGCTCAGGGGTGGGGGCCAGGGGGGAGAACCTTAGGTGTGTCCCCTTTTTGGTATTTATGGCCCCCACCCGCCGCTCAGGGGTGGGGGCCAGGGGGAGGACCTTAGGTGTCCCCCCCTTCTTAGTATTTAGGGCCCCCACCCACCACTCAGAGGTGGGGGCCGGGGGGGACAGAAGTTCCCCCCTATTGTTTTTTTTAGGGACCCCACCCACCGCTCAGGGGTGGGGGCCAGGGGGGAGGACAGTAGGTCCCCCCCCCATATCATTGAGTAAACTTTGAGAACCCCCCCGCCCCCACCCCCGAGCGGCGGGTGGGGGGGTTGTCAAAGTTTACTCAATGATATGGAATAGGGGGCGGACCGAACATCGCATATAATAAATCAATAAATTTAAAAAAGCGAATCGTTACCAACAAAACCTTCAAAAAGATGAGTACAAAGCTCTAAAAAAACTACAGAAAGATAATGACATCATTATTAAACCCGCGGATAAGGGGGGGGGAATAGTCATTTTAAATGTCAAAGACTATCACACAGAATGTATGAGGTTACTTAACGACCACACAACCTACACACAACTAAAAGGAGATCCAACTATTGAAATTAAAAATAAATTTTACAATCTCATAACCAAGGGTTTACAAAAGGAGCTTTTAAATAAAAAAGAATTTGAGTATCTAAACGTAACACACCCTAAGATCCCGGTGTTTTACTACCTCCCCAAGGTGCATAAAAACCCCATAGTTCCACCTGGAAGACCTATCGTCTCAGGCATCAACTCCATATCATGTAGATTTTCGGAGTATGTGGACAGATGCCTCCAGCCTATAGTGCAAGGCATCCCTAGTTACCTTAAAGACACAGGGAGCATTCTGAGACATTTACAGACCATCAAATGGGAACATGACTACTACCTAGTAACTGCCGATGTCAGCTCTCTATACACCATTATCACACACCAAAAGGGCTGTGCAGCAGTACAATTCTTTTTAGAACAATCTCAGAAATTTGAGTCAGATCAAATTGATTTTATCATTGAAGGGATACAATTAATTTTAACCAGTAATTATTTTTGGTACGATGACACTTTTTACTTACAGGCATGTGGGACGGCGATGGGCACCAGGTTCGCACCCAGCTACGCCAACCTGTTCATGGCAGACTGGGAGCGCCAACATTTACAACTTAATGAGGACTGGGTAGAGGGCCTGGTGACCTATCGCCGTTACATAGATGATCTGTTTTTTATTTGGAAGGGCACGGAAGATACGTTACAAAGTTTTTTAAATCAATTAAACAATAATGAATGGGGCATTATTTTATCAACTAATTTTAGTAAACACACAGTTACATTTTTAGATTTGGATATTTTTATTGATAATGAAAAGATCAAGACCAAGACACATTTTAAAGATGTAGATGTGAACAGCTTTATCCACACCTCAAGCTGTCACTTTTCCCCTTGGCTAAATAGTGTACCTAAATCACAACTTATACGTATAAAAAGAAACTGCACGGACAATGACATCTTCAAGGAACAAGCAGACAAATTAATTACCGACCTGTTAGATAAGGGCTATAAAAAGGAGACACTCAACGACACTTATACACAAGTTTTAAAAATTTCACAGAGCACTTTATTACAAGAAAATAATAAAACGCAAAATGAATGTGAGGTCAATTTACCCATTGTATGTAATTACAGCCATAACAATAAGGCATTAAGGAAAATCCTAAATAAACATGGGCCTATTTTACTTCAGGACCATGCCCTATCCCAGATTCTACCACCAAAACCCAAGATAATATTTAGGGGTGCAGCTAATTTAAACAGACTTTTGGTAAAGAACCACATTAAAAAAACTAAAACTACTACCTTCCTAAATAAAGGAAAGGGTTTTTACGGATGTGGTACTTGTCTTGCGTGTAGGAACACCAACAATAAAAAGAGACATATTAAGACTTTTAAGAACTGCAATAACGATGAGGAATTCCCTATTAAAGAACTTATAACTTGTTACTCAAACAACGTAATATATTTATTGGAATGTCCTTGCGGTTTAAAATATGTGGGACGCACCAAATGGAATTTGCACACTAGGATTGAGGAACACAATAGAAATATAAAGAAAAAATTTGAAGGACACAGTGTATCACACCACTTCACCCTAGCTCACAATAGTGATCCCACTCAATTACTCTTTATGGGTATACAAAAGGTTAAGGGGAATTGGCGGGGAGGCGACCTTAATAGATTATTGGGACAGAGTGAGATGAGGTGGATATTCAACCTCGGGACTTTAAAGCCCCGGGGTTTGAATATAGACTTCGAACTCTGCCATTTCATTTAAATGGGTATCTCCCTTTTTTGGGGTTCAATGGAATTTATCCATTGTAATCCATTCTACCCTTTTTGTACCCTTGTTTTTCTTTTATACATTTTTCTTATTCATTTTCAATCAGTGGCATATTATTTATGCCCAAACACTATAAACATTGTGAATACCACTTAAAGAATATTGATTTAATCACCTTTTGGGAAAATACCCAATAAGGATATCTATTCCAGCACATATGTATGTAATATCACCTTTTTAATGTTAATATATATGTACCATCGGCACTGTATGCACCTTTAACAATGTAAATATATTAGTCTATATGCACCACAATTTATATTATATCACTAGGAATTTAATATTTGACATTATGCAATTTAACAGTCATTCCAATTCTGCAGCCCTATTTGCTTTTTGCAGCATTTTTTTTTTTTTAACTTGGCTGGATGGCGATCACATGATTAGACGACGTCACTTCCGCCAACCACCCGGTTGAAAACAAGCACTTCCGCCAACCAATGCTGCCCACCAATGAAAAAATAGACAAATAAGGGCGTCAACATCATTAACCTATTAAAGGTACACACATACACACACATTATGTGAAATTGAATCTGATTGGACAGAATGAACTTAACTCATTAAAGGGGAAGACCCAGATGACATTTAAAATGGAGGATTCAGAGGACCAACATTACAGCTGACTGAAGAAGCTCTATTTGAGAGTGAAACGCGTATTGGCCATTTTTAAAGGACTTTTATTTGAGGACTTTTATCATCTTTGTTTTTATGTTTATTTTAAACTAATAAATTTACCATTTTCATTTAATACCTCATCCAAGTTCTTTTTGGAGCCTCCAAGGAATCCTCACAGGGGTAGTGCCATCCCCATTCAAATTGGCACAAAATCCACATACCTAGAGTCAGGATTCGTAGGCTCAGGACCAGGTGAGCACCCCATTTATTGAACACATATCTGTGTCATTTATCACCATAAGTCTACACATTGGTTTGCTTTCTTCTCTTTTTTCGTGTTCTCAAGAAATTCTTCAAGCCGAAGTAGGAGGGTGGTGCTACCATAACAGCACACAAGCCTTTATATGGAGCCAGTGTTTTCTATATACAGGCTCCTTGAAATGTGAGTGTAATATTCAACACGATATTATTATAATCACTGTGAAGCCATTTTTTAGTACCATCTACAATATATTGTATTTTCTGTATTTTATTTTGACATGTACCCCATATTTTACCATTGAATGAGACTACGTTTTGGTAAGATTTATCTGTGTTTGAGCGCTCCACTTATAGGTGTAGGTCCTTGTCACTTACACCGCACCAATATCTACTAAATTTATTCAGTGGAATAGAGGATATTTCCACACTAGTGTATTGAGCTGCCTGTAAATCACTTTTTGACTCTTTTGAGCACTTTTGTTATACACACTCCTCTGTAAAAAGAGGCAACCTTTGATTGGTATCGCATATGTTCGCCCGCCGTGGCGAACGCGAACAAGCGATGTTCGCCAGGAACTATTCGCCAGCGAACTGTTCGGGACATCTCTAGTTACATATAGTGCTAGCAAATTAAATTCTGTAAAAATATTATGATAATATATGTAGAATTAATATATATATATATATATATATATATATATATATATAATTTTGTTCTAAGTGTATTTTGATATCAGTATTTCCTGGCTAATCATGCCAGCATATACACCATGAGTTAGCTCTGCCCCTTAGAGCTCATAGGACAGGAAAACACTCAAACCTTTAAAGGATGACCCCTTCCTAGGATCCCCAGTCTTTTTCCTGTCCTACAGCCCTTAGGAAATGGTCTGTTCCAATGGCGAATCCAATTCCAAATTAGGAAGAATTTCTTTCTTTCAGTTTATGTTTGTTTATTTCAGCATGATATCTCTTTAATTAGTGCTTGTATAGAGTACTGGATCTGTTACTTTAATAGTTTACTTTAAAGATTGACTTACCTTGGATCTCTGGGACTTCCTCTCATTCAGAAGATTCCTATACTTACCTGGGGATCATTCTCTATTAGTGAATTCTGTTTCCATGGCCCCTGTGTGTTTACCTGGGTCCCTGGCAGCTGCTCCATGCCTCCTCCTCTCAATCTGAATGTTTTAAACTCGGTATTCAGGTTGTACATTCTCGTGGCATTCTGAAAAGAAGGGCTTGTGTTTCTGAAAGTAGTTTGGTGTATTTTGGATGTTTCTTAAAGTGCCAGTACTCTTTAAAGATCTTTGCCACAGGTAAGTTTATTTTGTAATATAATTTTTTTTTTCTTTTTTTTTAGCCCATAATGGCTTTCATCATCTAGGCTACACTTACCTACTTCTCCTTCTAGGTATGTATGAAGGTACTTTTTCGTTTAATTTCATTTCATATTTACATGATATCTGAGACTATTCTCCTATTACTTTCCAGTAATGAGGAATGTATCATGTCATCTACTCCCAAAAAAGAAGGGAGAAACCTACCCCCTGTTCCGGCTGTGAAGGACAGGCAATTGAGGAGAAACAGCTTTGTATGATGCTTCTTCCTCCATTATATTGGCCCAATCTGCAGACATACTTGCTTGGATAAGAAAGGAGGTCACTTAAGTCATCTCTGCAGCTATGGAGGTAAGACAGTGGGTTGAGAAGAGACCCAGACAAAGACTGGACTCCTCTAACTCATTAGATTCAGATATATTGGAACCCTCTGGAGAATTCAAGATCTTGGACCTGGTAGATTCCTGTGAGAGTGAAGGTGAAATGCTTTCTGAATACCTGGACTCCGAATCAGTGGAGAAACTGATTCTAATGGTAAGAAGGACACTAGAAATTTCTGAAGATACACACACAGTGGAGGGATCAGTTAAGCATGTTGCTGATCTGCACAAGCAAAAGCTGTCTTTCCCACTCTATAGAGCCATTAAGGAGAAAGTGACATCCAAATGGAAAAGACCAGAGAAACGTCTTCTCTTTCAGGGTAAACTGGCAAAGTTCTATCCATTAGAAGAAGATACCTCTAGGATGTGGATAACCCCACCGAAGGTAGATGCTCCTATCTCACGAGTGGCGAGAAAGGTGATGTTACCTTTAGACAGTACTGCTTCATTGAGGGAACCAATGGACCGCATGTTGGATATTCATTTATTCTAAATCTATACTGCTGCAGGAGCTGGCTGTCACCCAGTTGTAGCCCTTACAGCAGTGTCCAGATCCATGAGGAGTTGGTTGAGAGAGCTGGGCTCAGATGTGGAAAGTGGTATCAAAAGACAAGATCTCCGTGACACAATTTGGGACCTATGTATGACAACAGAGTACCTGTCTGAAGCATCATTAGATATTACGAGGATATTCTCATGAACCATGGCGTTATCTGTGGCTGCCAGGAGAGCCTTATGGTTACGTTACTGGGTAGTGGATGCTGCCTCAAAATCTAATTCATGCTCTATTACCTTTGAGGGTGAGCTTTTATTTGGCAAGGCCTTGGAAGACTCCATAAAGAAGGCAGCTGAAGGCCGCAAGGTATTTTTACAACAAGAAAGAAGAGCTAGAAAACCAGGTACTTCATGGTCAGACAGACGTCCTGCTAAAGACACATATTTCAGAGACTCACGAAGCTACCAACCTGGTAGAGAATTTAGTTGTGGAGGCCAATGGCATGGAGGACAAGTTTTTTCCCACAGCTCTAATAGAGCCAGGAACCAGTCCTTTCGTCCCTCATGGAAGGGATTCTGACTATCTGCCAGAGGCTGGAGCCAGACTGTCCCTCTTAAGCAAGGTCTGGACACACTATATTCAAGACACCTGGGTACTTTCCATAATTCTGAAAGGCTACAGGCTGGAGTTCAATCAAACACCTGTAAAGAATTTCTTTCTGGCAACTCATATTCCTATGGACAAGAACAAAAGATGCTGTTTGAAGGAATACGTGGAGACTCTCTTAAGAGAGAAAGTTATCGTGCAGGTACCTCCGGAAGAACGCTTCAATGGGCATTATTCTCCCCTGTTTCTAGTCCTAAAAAGAGAAGGAAAATGGAGACCTATTTTGGACCTCAGGTCCATCAACAGAAGGCGCAACATCAAGTCTTTCAGGATGGAGTCTATCCGTTCCATTGCTCCCACCATCAGAAGGCAGGATTGTTTGGTCACTTTAGACCTAAAGGATACGTACTACCACATCCCGATTGCACAGAGTCACCAGCGCTTCCTGAGATTCACCATTGGAACAGACCATTTCCAGTTTTGGGCCCTGCCTTTCGACCTACGTACAGCACAGAGAACCTTTTCAAAGGTTTTAGTAGTGGTTATTGCCTGGATGCAGATGCTGGGCATCAGCCTGTTCAATTATTTGGACGACCTTCTACTAGTCGACCCCCAGGAAGCCAGATATCAAAGGAATCTGTTTCTCTTGGAACTACATCAGTTCAGCTGGCAGATCAATCCAGAGAAGAGTAGTCTAATTCCAACTCAGAAGATAGTCTTCCTGGGAGCCATGTTCGATACAAAAGTGGACAAGATATCACTTTCCAAAGAGAGGATAGAAAAGCTTTGGACTTTCGTCAAGTGATTCCTACTGTCCACCCTGGTTACAGCAATGACGTATATGAGACCCTTGGGCATTCTGGCCTCTACGATCGGTCTAGTGAGATGGGCCCAATGGCAGCTCACAATCCATCAAAGAGATTTTCAGATCCAGTTCGACAACAGGAAGTTGAATTGGAATCAACCTATCAAGATTTCCTCGATGGTAAGACTCCATCTTTCCTAGTGGTTAAGGAGATGGAATGTGTCCAGAGGTTTTCCCCTATCAGATCCACAATTGGTAATACTTACCACGGATTCCAGTTCCCTGGGATGGGGAGCTTATTGTCAAGACAGGTTTGCTCAGGGTCTATGGACTGCAGTAGAGTTAGTTCTTCCAAGCAATACCTTGGAGTTACGGGTTATATTCAGAGCCCTTCTTCATTTCCAGACAACCCTAAAGGGATGCTGGATTTGAATACGGTCAGACAACATGGCAGCTGTTTCCTACTTAAATCACCAGGGTGGAACACACAGACTCATGAAGAAATTGAGACCTATAATGAGGTGGGCTATCGTACACTCCCAGGGCATGTCAGCAATTCACCTACCAGTAGACTGGAATACAGTGGCGGATTTCCAGAGCTGAGTATCAATGCCAGGGTGTAGCGGATGGCACTGGGCTGTCCTGCAAATGTCCTTGAAAGAATTGCATTCGTGTGATCTGCTAAGTTTCTGTGTGTTTTAAAAGCCTTGTATTGTTCTGGTTGTTCGGTAGTTTCATTCCCTTAGTTTATTCGAATGAAAATACCGAACAACCAGACCTCCCCTGTGTGAAGTGTGTCCTCAATTACCCGTTGCAACATTGTTGCGAACGGGTAATTGACTAGGAAGTAGCCGTCCTTTGTTCTCGGGGGTGGCCGCCATTCGACAAACGAACACGTGGCGGCCATTTTAAAACTCCCGAACAGCGGTGTTTTGCCGTCGAGTGTCTGGAACTAAAATCGGACACTCGAGTAGGCGAACACCGCTGAGACCTCCACAAACCTGGTCCGTTCGGTTCCAAACTACCGAACGGCCCCTCGTTCGGTAAATACAAAATACCGAACGAGGGGATTCAGGCGAACCCTCCCTAGCCTCTATAGCTAGAGGCTTTCGTGTATTTTGTTCCCTTATGCCAGGACCGACCGCAGGGCCCATTCGTATGGAACCCTATTCGGCTATCTCAGTTAGTGCGGTCGGTCATTTTATTCCCTCCATACATTTCCCGAACCCCTGGTCTGATCTGGTTGATTTTTGGATATGTTATTCCCCCAGATCAGGGGTATCCGGGGATGTAGGATTTAAAGAGGTACCCCTACGTTTAGGGGTACATCCAGAAACGGGGGGAATTACTGTACTGGATAAGGGGATTATGATGCTGGCTGAGGGGAGGAGATGTGTGGGAGGTTACCAGGACAGGATTGGCTACTGTAATAATTACTGTAAATCCCTCCCTTGCATGGGAGCATGCTTTAAAAAGGAGACTGTGGATTAAAGCTTTCAGTTCTGCTCCTGAAACTGTGTGTCGTCCAGTTATTGGGATTGCTGTGGGGATATTGCTGTTGTTTTACCTGCTGGAAACCTGGCTTTTGGATTTATTATCTACTTGTTCCTGAGCCTCACTTGGATTATAAGCGGAGATAACCTGGGGAATATTGCATCTCCGCTACACAGGGTTAAAATGACGGCTGTGCCCAGAGGTTTTTCAAAAACTTGAGATAGGGATTACCTGTGATAGAACTGATGGCCACCTCCCAGAAAAAACAGGTATAAGTGTACTTCTCCAGATACTTTGATGCTCTGACTCAGAACTGAACAGAACCTCCATCCTTGGCTGCGTTGCTAAGCTTCCTACCAGCAGGTTTGGATAAGGAGTTTGGCTATAACACCTTAAAGGTCCATGTTTCGTCTATCTCAGCCCTAACAGGCACCAGGTGGGCTTTACAGGTATAGTTATAAGATTCATGAAAGCTGTTATTAAGATCCGGCCTCCACGCAAGGTTTTTATGCCGGTCTGGGATTTGCCTTTGGTGTTACGTGCCTTGACTGCAGCACCATTTGAACCATTGGAGAGTATTTCTGAGGTACTATTGTCCCAAAAGGTTCTTTTGTTAACATCTATCTCCTCAGCAAGGAGGATATGTGAACTTCAGGTCTTGTCTTGTGAACCTCCCTTCACTGTCTTTCATCAGGATAAGGTGATTCTTTGTCCTGTGCCGGAATTCCTTCCCAAGGAAGTGGTCTTACTCTCCTTTTATCCTTGCCCTAACTCTCCTGAGGAACAGATGTGGCATAACTTGGATGTTGTTTGAGCGCTCTCCCTCTACATTGAGAGGACAAGCTCTTTTCATAAATCTTCCAGACTGTTTGTTTTACCTTGGGGCCACAGAAAAGATGAAGCTGCTTCTACTTCTACTGTGAGACAGTGGATAATAGCACCTATTTCCAAGGCTTATCATTGTCAGGATACACCTCTGCCGATGGGTATCAAGGCTCATTCCACCCGAGCAGTATTTGCCTCTTGGGCTTCCGTGGCAAAGGTCTCTCCAGACAGTATTTGCAGAGCTGGCACATGGTCTCTGTGAACACCTTCATCAAGCATTATCAGTTGGACGCTCGATCTGCTAATTATACACACGTTGGACGTCAAGTCCTCAATTCAGTTCATAGTGCCGGTCACAGTTAATGTATATATTTATTTGCAGCTATTTTGGCTTGGTCAGTCCCTTTTGTTAGCTTGAGTATTCCCATGATGTATATGCTGCCATGATTAGCCAGGAAAGTGGAAAATGTATTCATACTTACCATAATTTCTTTTCCTGGCTATTTTTCATGGCAGCATATACTCCTTATCCTTTTAATCTGTGTTTATACTTTTCTGTAGAGCTTGTTACTGACTGGGGCTCCTAGGAAGGGGTCCTCCTTTAAAGGTTTGAGTGTTTTCCTGTCCTATCAGCTGTAAGGGGCGGATGTATATGCTGCCATGAATAATAGCCAGGAAAAGAAAATTACGGTAAATATGAATACATTTTCCACTATATAAATTAATATCAAGATACAGTTAGAACAAAATTACACATATATATATATATATATATATATATAATACACAAGATCCAGCGCACTCACCTATCCACTAAACAGCAACTTCAATGTTGAAAGATTTTATTTGTTTTTTTTAAAACACCTAATCTAGGCAAAAATAATGGGGGTTTAGTTACATTATATGATCATACATTGCATAAGCCTGCCACAACGTCAATGTACCCCATCTTTGGCAGGTCCTATACTAACAGCCTAATGTCTGCTCTTATGAGATTAACCTACTTGGGGAAAATAATTCCATCTGGGGCTCTCTGCAGTACAAGGCTAAATAGGGCCCTGGGATGAGGCACCTGTGACAGGGAGGGGTGCAAAACCAAGGAGTTGGCTAGACTCCCAAATATATATATATTTTTTTTTTTATTATTATTTTTTTTTTTCATTTTTAACATATTTATATATTTATTTTACATTATTTATATATATATATATATATATATACATATATATATATATATAAAATTATAATTATACATATATTTAATTAA